CTTTCAAGATCTCTTTCAGGGGCTCCCCAGAAAGCCCCCTCCCCTCCACAGCGTCCTCTCCTCCTTGTTTGGCTTTTTTCATAAGATGAGCAAAGACTCCACGCCCTCTTGACCCTCATCACTGCACAGGTTGTAGTGTACCTCTGGCCAGGGGATGCTTGAGGGCGGCTTAGAGAGTATCCTTTGTGGTTACAGGTGAGGGCGTGGAGGAGTGAGAGGCCTTTGGTGTAAACTGCTTGTCAACCATAGAAAGCAGAAGAGTTTTTAAATTGTGTGCATCCAAAATAAAATGTTGAATTTAAAATGTAAGCCTTGTTTTTCCTACTGGTTCGTATCCACTGTAATTCACAGTTTGTAATATTATTGGCTGAGAACTGAAGCAAAATAGGAATTCTTACTTGTAAAAAACACATTGAAGATAAACATTCACACCTCCTGCATGGTTTCCTGAATGTCGAAATAACATTCTCATGTGTATCCATATGCGTATCGTATGTGTATCCGAAGCTTCTCTAAGTTTTCACCTATGTACCCCTTATTAGAGAAGAGAGTGAATGCAGAAGGGAATGTGGGATCACATTCTTAAGGAACCTGCTAAAAATTTGTGGTCCATTGAAGCCTTGTGTTTTATCTAGGGAAAAAAATACATATGAATGTTGCATTTTATGGCATAACATATCTGAGTTTATTTTATCATAAAAGTGTGTTAAAATGCTTAAAACGTTCTGTTTTCATATTCTGAGAATATTGAAAGAATAGTGTACAATGTGTAACTATTAATATGTAACCCTAATAAAACAATGTCACATGTGGTTCAGTCCCAGAGCCATGCCACATTTAAAGAAATAACAATTTAAAATCACAGACCAAAAAAATCATTAAATAAAAAGGAATTCCATTCTTTACCTATTTCTCCTGAAGGATGTTAAAAGACACTTAATTCACATCTTTACTCAGCAGTCCTTCTCTTGTTCCTTTTTCTTTCCTCCACATGTCACTCTCTCCAGAGCATCATTTGCCCCCACGAAATGCTCCCTGCCTGTCCGTATCCCACACAGCTCTTACTCTCTCTCCCCCTGATCTCCTTCTTCCATATCTCGTTAGTGTGTCGAGTTGCTGAACCTTTCTAGCAAGCATTTCTCATCATTTCTTCCTTTCTGTTGAGTCTCTGATTCTAGGAACAGGCAAAGACAAAACGAGGTTGGCATGAGGGTGCTGGAGAAGGGAAAACTGGACCAACAATGACACATTCTCGTTGGTGGGCAGAGGGACAGCAACATCTCTGAACTTACCTGTGCCGATCATTTGCATCCTATCACATGTGTATATAAAAGTAGAAATATTTGTTCCATATTCTGAATTGATTGAAGGTTCATGTGTCATTTTGTTCACATATTATGACTGGGTGTCTGGGGGATTATTAGATATTGTACCTACAAATTGACAATCATTATCACTTTCCTTATTTATAAATATGTTCCACAAGTGCGTTAATAGTGATAGCATATAATATTTTAACCCAAAACCGTGCTTTTTAATATTAGTGTACTATTTTAAGAACGGGCTTTTGGAATCCATGCAAAAATTTTAAATGCCTATGCCATTTCTCTGACGGCACATTTTGTGGAAAATCAGGAACTAACAGAGATAAATATTTCTTTATTTGTGTGTGAGTCCATGTACCTCTGTCAAATATTGGTTGGCCTCCCACTTTGCCACTTGAGGAAATTCAAAATCTTTATGCTGAACAAGTGAAACTTTCAAAATGGATATGATGAAAATCAAGCATTGGATTTTGCTTCATAATCTTCTCAGTTAAGTGTTAACCATGAACAGATTGTATCTTATTATACCTGCAGATGAACAATATCATTGCTGTCTTTTAAAACCAGTTCAATCCTTAATTACTATGTGTACCTTTTCATTGATGTCATATTATGCAAAGCATTTGTGACTAGATTATGACAACCAAATCAGACTCTTCAGTCCGTAGCATTTGTTTCACAGATGTGTATGTCAGGTGCCTTCCATACAGAAGTCTCTAAGGTAGGTGCTGGCGGGGCGGGGGGATCATAGATAAAGGTCAGCCAAGAAACTTAACCCTCAAGGATCCTAAAAATCTGTGAAGCTGATAAAACCTTCCCACAAATAATGCTTCTTCTGAGTGGAAATTGTTAAGTGCCTTTAGAGAAGTTTAGAAAAAGTGTTCAGGGAATTTTAAGAGAGCGATGACTCAGAGATGGGAGTATCCAAGAAAACTTAAACAGGGGACAGTTGACCTTGGCATTGGTGAAGGAGTCATATTGGGATGTGTAGAAATTCAAAAGAAGGACATTTCAGGAGAAGGGAATCTTAACAACAGCAAGGAATATTGATAAAAGAAAAACTTTAGACAAATTAAATTTAACAAGTTTTAATTGAGCAAGAAAAGAGAAGGGAAAAAATAAAAAAAGATTCACAAGTTGGGCAGCCCCTAGAATCAGAATAGATTCTGAGGGACTCCACCACTGCCCTGTGGTTGGGTTTATAAGATTTATAGACAGAAAAAGGGAAGTGACGGACAGAAAACGGAAGTGAGGTACAGAAACAGCTGGATTGGTTACAACCTGGCATTCGCCTCGTTTGGACGGTTGCAACACTTGGCTGCCTGGGAACAGTGGAAGTATGGCTGCTGTGACTGGCTGAGACTTGGCTATTGTCCTGGAAGCACACTTCTAAGTTGGGTTTTCAATCTGTTTCCATACTAAGTTAGGTTGTGGTTTGTATGTAAGAGCTCAAGTGTGCAAGTACGAAGGCCTTCTTAGGCCAAATTTAATTTGATTTAACAATATTTAGGTACGGTAGGGTGTTATTCTGTTACGCTGGGGGAAAAGGAGTGATAGAACGTCGGTTGGAAAGATAGTTTGGATCTTCTTAACACAGGTTAGGGAAGTTGCAGTTATTCAGAAAGAGGTCATTAATGATAAGAAGACACGTGGCACAGGTGTCTAGGAATCTGCCAGTGGAAAATGGATGAAAGGCAGTCTGGGCAGAGGGACAGCAGACACACGATGAGCGGTCATGGGAGGACACTGAGAGTCCTGCAAACAGTGAGAAGTGTCTTATAGCCACAGTGTATAGAGAAGGAGAGGGGCTGCGAGACCAGCCTAGAAAGGAAGGTTGCAGACAAATTCTGAAGGGAACAACATGCCAAGCTAGGGCATTTGGTGTTTATCCCATGCGGACACGAGGAACCAACAGAAGGTTTATGAATAAGGTAACTCTGGGGGCAGGGTTTATGGGTAAGGTAACTGCAGGCTAGCAGGGGTCAGCAAACTTTTCTATAAGTGGCAAATTGTAAATATTTTAGACTTTGTGGACCACATGCAGTTTTTGTCGCATATTTGTTTTTTCTTTCTCTTTTCCTTCCTTTTTTTTTTTTTTTTTTTTTTAAACCCTTTAAAAATGCAGAAAGCGCTCTTAGCTCCTCTGGCCATGCAGAAACAGGCTTCAGGCTGTCTGCGTCCCTCTGGCCATAGTTTGCAGTCCCCCGGACTAGGGTAAGAAGAGAGAAGTGTCAGGTCAAATAAAAAATAAGACTATTGTGCAGAAAGTGGAAGAGGGCCCGGGTGAAGGCCATGCTGGTAGATGTGTGGTGGTGAGATGGGCGTGATGTATCTGAAGTAGAATTAGTTACCCTCAGTGACTGTTAAACGGTGGGGAATTAGGAAAGAAAGGACAAATCAGGAGTGATTCTGAGGCTTCTGGCTTGACAGACTAGTTAGTGTCCTTGTATTTAACACCAAGACTGTGGAAGAGTTTTGAGAGAAGATGAAGTCAGTTTTGAAGTTGCTGAGTTTGATGGGTCCATGGGTCATCTATGTAAAGGGTACCTGGAGCCAGTTGGCTCCATGGGTCTGGTGTGCATTTTTTTCCCATCCAGAATGTGTGCCTCACAAGGAGCCTATGAGCTAACAGAGTTGAAAGTGAGAAGTGTCACAAGAGTCTATAGGACAGGAAAGAGCTGGTCCTTAGGAACACCAGACTGGCAGCGGGATTCAGGACGAATGGGAAAGACTAGAGTGGGAAGACCAGGTAGGAAGCTCTTCTGACAGTCTAGGGAATAGAAAATGAGTGTCTCCACTGAGTAGTGGAAAAGGAAGAAGATGACAGATGGGAAAGATATTATGGGGCAGAATCATGAGGACCCGGCACTGTGTGCGTGGAAGAAGAAAGAGGCCTTCGGTCATCCTCGTCTTCAAATTCCAGTGTTGTAGGATGATGCTACTTAACTCTTGTTCTTTTCCTAGTTCTTGTTTTAGAAATCTAGCTAAGTGACTGAAGTAGTCACAGAGCACATAGTATGAATGCTTTCATACCTTTTCAATTTTTGCAAATATCCTATTTTATAGTACAGTGGAGGATAGCTATGGCCCACTGGCAAAAACCTTTGCATATTCTTCATTCATAGTAAAAGGAAATGTAGAAAAGAACAGGAGACACTTGATGAAAGAGTTACCAAAAAAAAAAAAAAAAGATTAAGATTTTGGAACTGGGACACATCAAAACCAAGGGCTTTAGAATTGTCTATAAGCCAGAGCTGGCCGGTTACAAGGGTCCAGGGTTCGGATCCCCATACAGGCCAGCTTCAAAAAAAAAAAGTCCTTAAGCCTAAGAAGTCCTCAATCAAGGTAAATTTACATGTTGCCAGCCTCCCCGTAATTCTTTTCACCTAGATCTGAAGTCTCTTGTGACCTTATTTTAGCAGATCTTTTTTAAAAGTATGAGTGCCATTGAGATATTGTAACCCTGTACATCTGTCTTCCCAGTGCACTAAGCTGCTGTGTTAAAATACATACATAACCACCTCTGTCCACATTGTGCACCTCACTCTAACACTCAAGATGCTTGGCGGTTAGAATAGAAAGGGCACAAGACCTTTTTTTGTCTGTTTGGCAATTAACCATTCACTGGCTTTTTTTGTTGTAACATGCACTTCCTTTCTCTTGTTTTCATTCAAGCTGTGTACGCCATGGAAATTAATGTGGAGAAAGACAAACAAACAGGAGAGACCAAGATTCTCTCTACAGCTACCATTGGCCCAGAGGGGGTCCATCAGAGAGGAGTCAAAGTCTATGACGATGGTACCAAAGTAGTGTATGAGGTGCACTCAGCAGGCACCATAGTAGAAAACGGAGTGCACAGATTAAGCACGAAGGCTGTAGAAGAGCTTATTCAGCAGGCTGGACAATCAAGCATAAGAGGAGGACACATGTCAGAAAGGACTGTGATTACAGACGGGAGCCTCAGCCATCCTAAGGAACACATGCTCTGCAAAGAAGCCAAGTTAGAAATGGTGCGTAAGTCTAGAAAGGATCATTCTTCTGGGAACCCAGGGCAGCCAGCCCAAGCCCCCAGCACTGAAGGGCCAGAGGCAAACTTGGATCAGCCAGTCACCATGATTTTTATGGGCTACCAAAATATCGAGGATGAAGAGGAGACTAAGAAGGTGCTAGGCTATGATGAAACCATCAAGGCTGAATTGGTCCTCATTGATGAAGACGATGAGAAGTCACTGAGGGAGAAGACAGTGACGGACGTGTCCACTATTGATGGGAACGCGGCTGAGCTTGTGTCCGGGAGGCCGGTCTCAGACACCACAGAGCCCTCATCCCCGGAAGGGAAGGAAGAGAGCCTGGCCACAGAGCCAGCCCCAGGTACCCAAAAGAAAAAGCGCTGTCAATGCTGTGTTGTCATGTGACCACTTCTTTCTTCCCTTTTCTTCTGGGCAGCCTCTGTACTCTCCACCACTTCCGTAGACCTCACTGTTCCACTAACTGCAATACTGTGAACTGGAAGCAAACACCTGCCTTGCCTTGCAGTTGGATTGCTTTGATCTCTCTTATTTTTTTCCTTTTCCTCACCTGAGAGACAACGTGCATGTGTGTGCTTCATTCTTTCCAAGAACTTGCTTTTCCTCTTTTCTTGTGTCTTCAAGAGTGAATCAATTCCTTACTGCTCGATTGGAATGGACTCTTCATATCAGCCAGTTATATACTGTAGTAGCCTTAACTCACTTGACTGGAATTGAACCCATTGGCACCGGGGGTTTCATTTTGTAGTGTGTTCCTATAATGTAGTCATACACAGCGCCATGTCCCCGATTTCTCACTTGGCTCCCTTGCTGTGGATCATTGTTTTTATATCTCGTGTGGCAAAATGCTGTTGGCTCTAGCCGGTTGCTAGTGTAGCCAAAAATGGACCTTACTTAGTCTGTCCAATCTAGGGTGATGCTTTTTGCTGCCTTACATAAGCTTCCAGATTACAGTATTGTGCATCTATGGCTTTCTTTCTGTTAAAACTGAAATGAAATTGATATAAAAGAACCCAGTGCTTGTCACGCTGAAATATAGAGACTCATCTCATAACCTGCTCATCAGCAGCTGTCTCTCTTTCTAAGGCTTAACTGATGAACCCTTTATATAAGAAGCAGCATTTTAAAACTTCTAAGGACATGAAACATACATTCTTTTAAGCATCAGTAGTGATGGATCTCTAAACTTAGGCAAATCCCTGAGCCTTGTTTCTAGTCTCTCAAAAAGTGTAAATTTTTATAGTTTTCTTTTTCACGGATATTTTCTGATCATGTTAATCTGTTTTCAGTGAGGGGATCATTTTGATCAGTATCTCTGCAGTGACCATATTTCTAAAACAGTCTTTCTGAGCTACAGTGGTGGCTGTCGTGCTCCCACTTTACCACGGATGGTGCTGTAACGCGTTAGCTGTTCGTCTCGCGTGCCCAGTTGATGACAGAGCCTTGCATCTGTGCTCTTTTCTTTCTGTCCCCATGAGAAAGGGAATGTGTCAGGTAACTTCAACATTAGGCCTGTCCACCCTTCAGAAAACACTTTAAAATGTAAGAAAATTTTAAAGGTTAAGGAAGATCTGTCTTCTAAACGTGAAGTACTTAAATTCATCCAGCAAATCCTGATTGAGTGGCACATAGATGAGCTTCTTTAAAGCATTGTTGCTTAAACTTCGGGAGATCCCAGAACATCAAAGAACATTTTTTAAAATCTAGAACACGATGAACTGTTCTTGAAATAAATTCTTAGCACTCCTGTAAAGCAAACAGACACATATATATTAAAACCAAAGGGAAGCAATGTAGTCAGATAGCAGTAGTATAGTAATGAAATAAAGATGTAACATGTCAACTGAGGTTAATAAGAGATATTTGAACTTTAAGTTATTGGCCCAAATGTTCATAGCATTGTTGCAAATTACTCACAAAATTATCTATGTTCCTGTAGAATATAGTTTTGAAAAACATATAGTATGACATACTGCATCTACATCTAACATACTAACTTCTATGGAAAATGGATGAGAAAAAAATAAGGTAGTCTTGAGAGAATTTTATTACAGAACCAATGAAATTAGTCCTATTTAGCTTCCTCAGTGCTAAATGTATTATTATTTTTTATTTCTTAGCTTGAAATTATAGTTATTACAATTGGCAAGGAAAAATATTTTTTATTTTTAAAAATCAAATTTTCTCAAATAATTATATTTTTAATGAGCACAAAGAGAGCCATTTTATTGCCCATATGTAAACAAAAAAAGGGAGGGAAGAGAAAAATAAAGGAGCTTAGTTCTACTTTCTAAGATGATTCTATCCATGGCTTGGTTTTGAATAACTGAGAGATTATCTCTAAATCTCAGGTTCACTAAAGCAACTGCAGTTGAATAAAACTGCTTAATTATATAGAAACCTGGTTTTAATGTCTATAAATCTCACTACTCTCAGCTTCATTTTTCTTGTTAAATGACCTTTTTAACATCATTTAAACGTTTAAATAAAATAACGTGCAGATAAACCAATTCCCATAGAAGGAGAAAATAGTTTTAATGTTTTGACAATCTATTATTTTAATAATTTATTTAGGAAAGAAACAGTCCAAAAGTTTGCCATAACTTGTCTTTTTTACTCACGAAGGTGTTAAAACCATTCAACATGAGTTTTGAAAAGCACAGTTAATGAGCGCGATGGTCGAACGTAGAGCACTTGCTCTTTGACACACAGAATCAGTCTGCCAGGGTGGATAATGCCCTGACATGACCTACCCTTCCGTAAGTGAATTAGTTACTCGTGAGGAAAATGATCTGCAACTGTCACCGCAACACCACTCATAAAATATGAAAGACCAATGATAATTCACACTCTCACCTTTCAACTATTATGATGGGGAATAGTGATTCACAAATTATATGAATCAGGATTCTCTCTGTACTTTTATTTTTAAAGCTTATCATTTACTGGTTTTTGAAGCAAGTTGTATTACCCTTATTAAAATTCTTTGTGGCCATAGTAAATGAGGGTTTGTTTGAATATGGCATAAATATTTGCATATTTCCCATCATTTTCCTGGCATAATGGGGTATTCAGGCTCAGCCAGTACTTTTATGGGATGAAACCTATAATCTCACCTACAGTATCAAGTAACCACCCTTCATGATGAAAATGTAGAAGAGCTGTGATAGTGAACATTCTGTCTTTCCTGCTACTATTGGTGTTCCCTCTGTAAAAACTTTATTATGTGTGCTATCACATCTTTTAACAATGCAGGGTAATTAGTTACATAAACAGACTAATTAAAGGGTGGGTAATGAAACTGCAGAACCATGATCTTTTTTGAGCTAATGGTTACTTGGGATTTCCTTTAAATCATATAATCAATTCCCTTTACATAGAAAGGACAAAAAGAGAAAGAAGGGATATTATAATAAAAATATTTTATTTGTTTATAAATAGATTTTCAATGACATTTAATTAATGATCATTTAATGGTTAAAATGATAAAATTCAACCCTATCCTACATTTCTTGAAAAGTCTTGATGACTTGTGTATCCTTGACTTTTTTTCTTTCTTTTTTTTTGGTAGCTGGCCATTCAGGGGATCCGAACCCATGACCTTAGTATCATAAGGCTGTGCTGTAACCAACTGAGCTAACAAGTAGCCCCCTTGACTTTTTTTTTCTTTCTTTTAGTGTGTAATAAGACCAACTAAGAGGATTTTTTTTTTCACTTTTTACCCATAATTATATTATTTTCCTTAGGTAAGCAAAAAATAATTGCCTCTAAAAGTGGTTTGACAATGCCTAGTAATGTCACTTAATGTAAGGGGCAAAGAGGAAGAGGGGCTAGGGAACTCTCTACTGGACAAACCCAAAACATGGTTTCCTCAAGCCTTTTGAACAATCTTAAAATTATTTGGAGGTGTTCAGGAAACTCACATTTTATGAATTTGATTTGACTCCTTTCTGAAATGTTAATGAGCATGTATTTGCTTCACATCAATTCCCTTTACATAGAAAGGACAAAAAGAGAAAGAAGGGATATTATAATAAAAATATTTTGTTTATAAATAGATTTTCAATGACATTTAATTAATGATCATTTAATGGTTAAAATGATAAAATTTAACCCTATCCTACATTCTTGAAAAGTCTTGATGACTTGTGTATCCTAGACTTTTTTTTGGTGGCTGGTCATTCAGGGGATCCGAACCCACGACCTTAGTATCATAAGGCTGTGCTGTAACCAACTGAGCTAACAAGTAGCCCCCTTGACTTTTTTTTTTCTTTCTTTTAATGTGTAATAAGACCAACTAAGAGGAATTTTTTTCACTTTTTACCTCTTTTACCCATAATTATATTATTTTCCTTAGGTAAGCAAAAAATAATTGCCTCTAAAAGTGGTTTGACAATGCCTAGTAATGTCACTTAATGTTAGGGGCACAGAGGAAGAGGGGCTAGGGAACTCTCTACTGGACAAACCCAAAACATGGTTTCCTCAAGCCTTTCGAAAAATCTTAAAATTATTTGGAGGTGTTCAGGAAACTCACATTTTATTAATTTGATTTGACTCCTTTCTGAAATGTTAATGAGCATGTATTTGCTTCACGGTCCCATCTATTCCATTTTACTTCCTGGTGATAAATGTGTTTTTTCTACATGCAAGTAGAATATTTTATTTTGGTTAGGATCAAGTTTTTTTTTTTTTTGTCTTTTTCCATGTCCGGCAACGGGATCGCAACCCTCGGTGTTGCCCCCGCGCCTCGCTCAGCCAGTGAGCGGGAACCGGTCCGTATGTGGGATCCGAACCCTCGGTGGGAGCGCCACCGCGCTTCCCAAGCGGCGCACTATAGCAGTGCGCCACCGGGCTGGCCCCAGGATCAAGTTTTTATAAAAGGGGGAAAATATACATCTATAGTTTCCTGGAGATACAGCGCCGCCGCGCTTCCCAAGCGGCGCACTATAGCAGTGCGCCACCGGGCCGGCCCCAGGATCAAGTTTTTATAAAAGGGGGAAAATATACATCTATAGTTTCCTGGAGATACGCTATCATCTCTGGAGCAAAATGTTGAGGCCAGGTGTGAAACAGCTTATTTCTTTCCACTTCCTGCAGAATTTCATTTCAAGGGACCACAGACCACCCTTGAAATTTACTATTTATTTAATGTCAGTGAACCAGTGAATAGCAAAAGAAGAGGGAGAAAATGTGATGATAGAGGCAAAAGTCGAATTATTATAACAGATCTTTCCTTGTAGAAATATTCTCATCTTCTGTAATGTTAGTTTACAACTGAAAAAACATTCCAGGTGAGCAGTTTCATGTTGTATTTTTGCAGCATGCACGTTTCTCATTGAAACCACAAATTCTCAGCATATTTAAGACAGGTTTCAGGGCTGGCTGGTTAGCTCAGTTGGTTAGAGGGCAGTGTTGTAACACCAAGGTCAAGGGTTCGGATCCCCGTACCAACCAGTTTGCAAAACAAAAACCAAAAACATACAGGTTTCAGAAACTTTATAAATATGCAGTCTTTTGGAAGCTCCTCAATTTCTTAATCAAGGTGTATTGAACTCCACTGATTAGGATAGAAGCAGGAAGTATCTCTTGTCCTAATGGACAGTACAACCCAGCTGGAGCACAGAGTTACTGGTATATGTCATAAAACAGCTCGAAGTAAGGACGAGGATGGGATCTTTGATTCCTGCTATCAGTTCACCTTCATGAAGGCCCTCGTCTGGTCTTATCAGGATAACTTTCTCACATTTTCTAGGGAAAAAGAAAAATCTTTTCTTAGGAGCACAGTGCAGTTATATGTCTGTATTTTCATAGCTTCAGCAAACTCCTTCATAAAATTCCTATTTCAGTAAAAACCAAAATACTTTATTGTCTGAATGTAGAAAAGTGGAGAATAAAGATTACAACCTGGAAGCTTCAAAGGGAAATTTCACTGGGAATCCTTAGACCAGTCCCCCCGCCATTTAATTTTTATATAACTTAAGCAGGCCTCTGCTTCCCCTCTGCCCTCCAGTTTAACATGACAAGGTCAGCACAAAAAACTTGCTTTCAATGTGACAACTTAATACGTAATTTTGGGGACTGCAGACTTTCTGCATCAAAGAGCTGGACAGCCTTAACTTTTATAAAAGTAATTTTTCAAGATTCACTTTTACTAAGCAGGAAAAAAACTTTCCTGGAGTCAATGACGTTTTTATATTTTGTGACTATTTTCTAAGTTTCTACAGGTTGAGGTGTGAATGGTCATCTTTTCCCATATTGCCTCTTAGTAGTCATCTGGGGCTATTTTTTGCAAGTCACTGCATTTTTATCAAAAGAAAACTATTTCTCACACACCATAAAATTCTCCTTAGACTTCGAGCAGTCCTTCTGGAGTGAAAGAACAGAAATACAGAAAGAAAAGAATTACAGGGTGGCTTTCTTTTCATTTATCTATGGTTAATGTACTGTATGGTATATATGTTTACAGAATGTATCTGCCTTGTGATGTTAACAAAATGAATGACAATAATAGTTCTGATGTGCCATTTGACAGTTTGCCTTAGCATCTGTTTATGTTTCTTCTTTTCTGTCCTTTTAAAAAATGCAGGTTGTATTCCAAAGCTGTATTAACACAACATTCTCTTCCCTGCTCCTACCCAGCCTTCTTCAGAGCTGTGAATTTCAGCAC